GCTCGTGATCACGGCAATCTATATCGTCGTGGTGGGTAATGGATAGTTCACTCCTAGCCCACACTGCCACACCGCCACCATGGGCATCTCGATCCTTCCTTATAGGGGGTGAGTATCCTGGGATGGTCAACTCATGGGAGGAATTATCTGAGCAGAGCTTCGTTTCTGTTACTATTGCCACGTCTACATTATACTGCAGGATTGCATGCTGCAGTGCACCTATCTTGTTGCTCAGGCTGAATGCATTAGTCACTAGCAGTCGCAGAGGTCTGGAATCCATCATTGGGCGTGGGAGGACTGGGCATCCTGCTGGGGTGGCTGCGCATCATGCTGGTCATGTTGTGGCGCAGATCCGTTTGATCTCTTCAGGTCTCCAGCCTCTGGTGGGAAAGGTGGGAGTTTCTCCGTTTTTGGCCACTGTGTAGTGGAGTGGAGATGAAGTCTGCCGGTGGTGGTGGCGGCGGTGGTGGTGGCGGCGGGGAGGAGGACGTTGAACCCGGCTGCTGTTGTCGCTGTTGCTGTTTAGTCAGAACACTGGCAGAGGTGCTGTTTCTGCTGCTGTGGCTGCGACTGCTGGTGCTGCCCTCAGAGCTGGTTTCTAAGAACCTCCATGGCCTGCAGTATACGGGCCTTGGCCAGAAGTTGGGCGCTGTCACTGTGGAGAGTGAAGTGGCATCGATGGTCACTCTTGCGGAAGCACGCCCACTTTCTGACAGCCATATACTGCAGGTGTGGACAGGAATGGAGGCGCCCAGAAACTCACTCCTGGTTTTGATAAATTGCCTGAAGTGGCTCTCAGTGCTATCTGTGGCGATATTGCCCACATACACCACAGCACGCTTGTTTTTGGGTCGTTCTGAGGAGACAAGCTTCCATGAGTCATCCTCAATAACATGGAAGATTGGCTTGGATTCTGTCACATCTGTCTGGGACTTGGTGGGGATGGCATCTTGGTCGCCATCCCCTTCACACTCGTCACTGCTACGGGAGATGTTGCAGGGGACGCTGCCATCCTCTTCACACTCGTCACCGCTACGGGAAATGTTGCTGGGGACGCTACGGGACATCGTGGTGTCATGCTTTCGAGTACCTGTACCCGCACTGCCTGCTTTGGTACGCCTACGCGAAGGTTGATCCGCACCCGTACCCTGCTGTGTTTGAACTGGCCTTGGGGTAGCTTTTCGCAAGGCAATGGCGGATTCTCGGAGAGACACTAACTCTTCATTCACATCTTTGAGCTGCCTTGACAGCTCGTCAACCCGTTTGTTTAGGCGCGTCTCCCGATCAGCCGATTCCGAGACAAATGCGGCCAATGTTTTCAGGATTTCTACTACAGATACCTCAATGCCCGGCAACGACGCCATCAGCCTCAGCTCTTCATCACTCAGGGCAGTCGCGCGAGTGTTTGTTCTCGTGGTGGCCCCAGGCATGGCGGAGGTCACCAATTTCTACGAGCACTACTAAAAAACCTTACTGCTACCCTACGGAAACTACCTCCAGTCCGGCCTGATGCCGGCTGGGCTCTACCAAAAAGGATTTACGGGAGCTTCAAAAAGTGCAACCTACCCCTACTGAACTATTTGTATAGACCCTGTGTGACTCAAGCCCTGAGGGTCTCGGAGATGGTGTCTGCTGTGTGCCAATTTGTGAGCCGCCGGCAGTGGCGGAAGGACCTGTTTGTATACCGCCGGAGTGAGCGGGTGGACCATTTTGTATGCCGCTGGCAGAGGCGGATGGACCATTTTGTATTCCGCTGGTAGGGGCGGAAGGACCGACTTGTATTCCGCTGGTTGGGGCGGAGGGACCATTTTGTATCCCGCCGGTGGGGGCGGATGCAGCTTGTAAAGCCAAACGCACCTCAGGGTGAGCCAACAACGAAATAAAATCCGAAGGGTCCATCGTCGTGAAAGCTACGCTAAGGGAAACTGAATCACAAAAGGAAAAGACACGTCAAAGTCACCTACGAAGAGAGAGAAAAACTTGCAAACCACTCTTTACTTGCAGAGAAAACAAGGCCAATGGAGGCAGGCAGTGCAGTGGCACAGGGGTTATCCAGGGCAGTGGTTGCTATGGTGTTTGGCGTTAAAAAATTCTGGTATTTCTAGCGGGTTTGCAGAGAAAACGAAGGGGCCACTACAGTGTTACATGAAGCGGAGCCTCTGCAGTGCAATGGACTCCGCTGCATGAAAATGACACCTTCGCACATATCATATGGGACAGATGCGATGTCCGGTCCCAGGGTGTCTGGGATCCAGATGCTCCATTGTACCAAGAGTATAAGTTATACATGCATACTCTTGATTGTAATGCTGTGTGCTGTGTAGGACCTGAACCCTGAGTCTGACTTGATGCATTGAACCATGAGACTTGACTCATGGGTAGCTACAGTCATAATCATTGTACATGTACAGTGTACTAGCAGTACAGTCGAATGTCACTTACTAATCCGGACGCCAGTTATCCGAGCACGTCGGTTATCCGACAAGCCCGGGAGTGGTAATTTTATGACTCTCAACAGTAAAATTCTAAAAAATAAATAAAAATAAACTTTTGTTTTTGTTTTTTTTGTATATTATACGGTGTAATATGCATTTACTTGAAGTAGATGTGGTCAAGTATGCTAACATGTATGTGTGCATGGAATATGCATGAATATATTTGGGTATTGTGTACATAAATCAGTGAAATCCAGCCATATATGCACATAAAAAATTATATCAGTTATCCAACATATTCAGTTATCCAACATGCCTGATTCCCGAAGTGGTCGGATAAGTGACATTTGACTGTACTACTACTAGTGCTACGCTTCTGCAGTCATGAACCCTGGCTCAAAAAATAAAAATACATGTATTGCACCGCGTACACGGGCCCGGGATAATGTGTCGTGGCAGATACAATATGGAAACTTTACCCTGAACTGGCTGAAGTGTAGTGGTACACGACAACAAGTGCAACAGCTCGGGGTGACCGACAAGTAAAGTCTGACTTCAGAAAGTTGCGACTAGATTGTGAGAATGAGCCACAGATGCGGAACTAAGAGAGGATAGAGGCTTTTATAAGATGAATGAAGACATGCTTGTCTATGTTCCAAGTAGAATACAATAGTAAATGCAGTAGAGGTCGAGAGAAGAGTAGGTGCGTGGATGGAGTCGTGGGAGGCTACACTTCCTAAAGCATTGCTAGAACAGTGGAAACCAATAGTTTGTTGTGTGTGAGGTGGTGAAGGAAAATGTGAGGCAAATAACAGTTAGAAGAGGTGACAGCTATGCGGAGGAACAGAGTCCAAACGTAGAAAGCGCACTCTCGGAATGCACTACAAGTAAATGCAAAAGCATGTGTGGGACAGGAGCGTGTAACAACTGTGCTGTACGCAGATCTGCAGAGTCGAACGTTTTTTGGGCGAGAAAAGCTCTTTTTCACTTGTTTTTGTGCCATCCAGGGATTTTGAGAGAAATGCAGGGATTCTGCATGTCTTGTCAAGGGATTGAGATTGTGGTGGTTGGTCAGTATGCCATGTCCCTTCTCAGATTCGGTGGATCTACTGATGCCGGTCGTGTACATGAACTTGGAGTTAGTGTGTATTATTGTATTTATGGATTCTCCACAGGCCTTAGCCTAAATCGAGGGAGTCTCCGTGTATAGTATGGGTTTATGTATTACCAAGACTAAAAGTACATAACTACATTGTGTAGTTATGTACTCTTGGTATTACAAGTCTGTTATCTATCAGATAAACCTTGTTTTTTCTTAAACATGTTGTTGGTTGACAGCATGTAACAAGGTGGAGGACCACCGTGTTCGGAAGCAGTGTCCCTTACTACAACTATCCACGGTTGGCAGAACCCCGGTCTTGGGACCATCTGAACCGTATTGGTGCTAGACCCGGTTCTGACCCTCATCATACTAGGGAGTTCTTCGTCTTCTTGTTGTTGTAGATCTACCGCCAGTCGTGTATTCTTCGTTCGCTGGATGTCTTCTTGAATCAACTTGATACTCAGTCCTAAGGCAACTCCCCAGTATAATGAGGGTAAGAATCGGGTCTAACATAACACCCATACGGTTCAGATGGTCGCAAGACCAGGGCTCTACCAACCGTGGATGGTTGTAGCAAGCCGGAGGCACTGTTTGCGAACACGGTGGTCCTCCGCCTATGTCCTGGTGACAAGTACCTGCTGTCAACCAATAAGTCTGTTACCTGCCTAAATAGGGCTTGAAAGTGATGACGTCAAAACGGCCAGGGAGTAGTAAGTTGACATCAGATTTCTATTTTTGGATCCACTAAGGTGTGACTTTGCTATTGCCTAAGTATGTGGGTGCATAGCAACCCACTCATGTCGCATGCAGGTGTGACTTTTATTTCGCCACCAGTTAACCCTGCCCCCAGTAGCCAAATCAGTCAGTTTCACTGGCGTCATCACCATGCTGTGGGTAAGACCGCTTGAAATGTGCTTGGATCCATACAAAAACTGGATCCAAGTGGATCCAGCTTTTGAATTTTTGAAATATTAATTGTTGCGATGCTGTGACGTAGCACTTTCAAGCCCATAAAGATAAGGCATAATGCGCTGTACATGTACGCACACTGTACGTAACCTTGGCGACACGCTACAGAAATGGAAACACGACTAGTGACACTTCACTGACAGTCAGTGTTCGACCACTGGCACTGCACCGGGTAGTTCAAGCGGATGCACGCACGCGCACACCGCAGAGCTAGACGTAGACTACAACAACATAAAAGACTTTAGTACAAAAGTCAAAAGATACAACATTAGAAGTACTCGCGTATACAGCAGACATGACTGTCATGAGTACATGACAAAGAACAAAGATGTTGACAGTCCAGAGCTTGTGCTATTATCATGATTATGTAGTAGAGGAAGAGGTGTGCGTGCGTATGTGTGATCTGCTAGGAAGAAGAGTGAATCCTCTTCTCGTCCAGTCTGCCGAAGCAGCAGGCAGACACTTGCTTGTACGTGTTATACGTAACGTCGTTAGTAGATCTTCCTAAAATGCAGTGCCAGTAGTGGTAGTCTACTCTCCCGGCTTGCACTGCATGATTTGCTGCTCTTTGGCGACGAACCGTCAGCTGAGCCTGCAGCAGCAACATGCCGTATAACCCAATGACCGGTGCCCACCCGGAGTGGACTGCGTTCGTGGAGGAGATGAGCAAGGTGCTGGACGAAACGCTAAGCGACCGACCCAGGCGGGGGTCGGAATGGACAGCGCACTGCAGGGAGGAATTTCCGCGCAGCGCCCGAGTGAAATCGCTGCTCGACGACACGAAAGAGCCGTGCAAGCGACACAAACCTCTTGATCTTGACGATCTACCCTTCGAAAAGTATATGCCTGGACCTGAGCAGCCGATGAGGCATCGTTTGCATTGGGTTACCGGGACAGGGTTCTTCCGCGGGCAGCAACCAGAGCCATACAGCAATCTAAAGACGTGCTTTAGCTACCCAGCTCCTGGAACAGTTCTGACAGAGGTCGACGCCCGGATCGGTAGTTTCCCGCTGAACTACAAGCGCCGTGCGTGTGTCTGGGCCCGTGGCAAGGACTCGCAGGAGGTGCAGGAAATAGAGAGGAGGATTCACACGCATCCGACAGCCATCCCGTACCGAGCCGAGTGCGACAAGGAATTAGACATACTGGCGGACCCACCGCGGGGTGTCCAGAAGAGGTGAGCATTGCTACACGCCGCAGCTGCATCGACTTGTGTACAGACTGTGCTGCGTGTAGTGCTGCGAAATCTGATCACGCGAATCCAGTTTGCGCGCTGTGGCATGCGCCAATTCACATGTCAGTACAGTATTTGCAGGCCATGGCTAGGCTGCACAGCGTCAGTCTTGGCATGGACATGCTTATGGCTATGCGTAATGTATCTAATATTGACTGAGTACGAGGTCAATACTGTAAATATACAAATTTTCGGCAGCTATTTAATTTCGGCTATATTCGGCACCGACCCAAAACGCCTAAATTAAAACGCTGATGAAATTTTTCACAGCACCTGTCGCACATGCCCTCTACCCCACGCCGAAAATAAATCGCCGCCGAAATGTCAAAAATCGTGAAGTGCCAAAATTTTGCAGCGCCGAAATTTTGTATATTTACAGTATAGGAAATAAAAGCCGAGTAAAGGACCTTGGCGGCTTCGCCGAGGTCTTTTACGAGGTTTTATTTCCTGTACTGACCAAGTACGAAGTCAATATTAGACTTATCACGACAAACAATCCGTATTTCAAATTCCAGAATGATAACCTCATGAATCCCGGTTTTATGATTGCACAACCGTTGCACCATCACCTAGTACACCTAATCATACATTGACCATGCTGCACTACAGTCCATTTCAAAACTATAGACGCGCAATGTTTTTGAACTATTTCAAATTTGGCTGGAACTTTTTGAGAATAGTTTTCGGATTATTGCTCAGGTCCGCTCCACAATTACTCTCATATAATTTCTAAACGATTGGATAACAGACGCCCAATTTGGAAAAAATGTATGCACAAAGTGATCACAGATTTTAATTTTATGTGGTATAGTAACGGTTTTTGCCTAGGTACGCGTCTATAGTTTTGAAATGGACTGTAGGCACCGTTCAACTGCGCAACCCCTAAGCTGCAAGCAGTCAAATATAAGCAGTCAGTATAGCCCTAAGGAGTGAAACTTAAGTATGCAGGAATATTTGACTGCTTTAGTAGGTATAGCGAAAATCAATGGGAGTCAATACTAAGGGAGTGATAAGAATTATTATTTCACTGAGCAGCACTGACTGTGGTGCTTCCAGTGCTAATCCCAGTGCTAATCCCAGTGCTAATCCCCATTTTCATGCATGCTTTATGGCCCACTAGCTGTCAACCGACTTGCAAATAGCAGTATAGCTATCCAGTATCAGTCCGCTGTACAAAAGAACATGCCGGGGCAACATCAAAACAGTAAATCAATCACCCACGGATGTTTGGCAGTCGATCACTGCTGCATCAACTGCAGGCTACATGCATCGGACTGCAGCTGGGAAACTGGTTATGCCCAATCCTGCCGTAGCTGAAATATCAAAACAGCAGCGAGAACTGAGGTTGCAGATGGCAGCGGGCAACACTGATCTAGCAATCAAGAAACAGAGAAACCAGTTGATGCACAGAATCCGGGAACTCCAGAGAAAAGACGCCAATGACAAGATAGATCACATTGCCGCCGAGGTAGAGAACGCCCCAACTTCCGCCAGGATGTTTGCAGCTGCACCCGCACTGAAGAAAAGCAAGAAACCCCAGCTAGTATAATCCATTCAGAGGACGGTGAAACCCTTTGCAAAGACACGGAAAAGATTCAAGCAGCGGCAACCCATTTTGAGCGCTTGTTTCACAGTCCCACCGCAGTGCCTATTGATCAACCCCGGCAACACCAACTGCAGGATCCTATCCAACCAGCAGAAGTCGTAAAGGCAGCCGTCAAATTGCGCAATTGTCGTGCATGTGGTCCTGATGGTATCCAGGGAGAGCTGATCAAGTACTCCTGTAGTCAGCTTGCTCCAGTCATATCGGAAATCATCAATTCGTGCATCATGAATGGAGACAATCTTATTTCCACTTTAAGCAGTGGCTCGATTGTCCCGCTAAACAAACCAAACAAACCGAAGGAATCAACAGCAAACCTACGCCCTATCACCTTCCTCAATACTATCCCCAAAGTCATATCTCATTGTTCTGAACCGAATATCGAAGCAAGTGTCTAGCTTCCTTAGGCCCACTCAATCTGGATTTCGGGCAGGTCGCAGCACTAGTGACGTTGTATGGTGCATCCGATGGCTTGCAGATAAAGCAATTCGATACGATTGGGACTGCCACATACTAGAACTAGATATGTCCCGTGCTTTTGACACACTTGACCGAGCGAAGGTGGTGGGGGTCATGACGGGCATTGCGGGTTCAGATGAGGTGTGTATGATTCAACACCTGCTGTATCGTACCTCTGTAGCAGTCAAGATCGGCAGGAAGGAATCCAATCTCTTCGAAGCCAATATCGGGACTCCGCAGGGAGATGGGCTCAGCCCGATACTGTTCGTTTGTTACCTAGAGGCTGCCCTGCGGGAGTGTCGGGACCGTTTCCCTCCAAGGCCAGAGCATGATAACATGATCCCACCAGAGACAGGTTACGCTGATGATGTTAACTTCCTGTCCCGTAAGTTATCTTGGCTCAAGGAAGGTTTGCCCATGATAAGTGCCACGCTTGGGGTCTGGGGTCTGAAAGTAAAGGAGACGAAGACAGAATGGATCCTTCTAACGTCTGAAGGTGAAAGATGGAAGAAATCTAAACAGCTTGGGGCCTACTTGGGCGAGGGTGATGATATTGCTCACCGCATGGAAAAGGCCTCGCAGGTCTTTGGCAGGATGTTCTCCCTATGGCTCCGGAAGGAGAAGGTATCAGAAAAGCGCCGGCTGAGAATATACAATGCCCTCGTGATCTCCACCCTCCTCTACAATTGTGGGACGTGGGGACTCACGGAGGGCATCCCTGGACGTATTCCACAGGAAACAGCTACGCACGATTCCTGGAATTCGTCACCCAGACCATATAAGGAATGATGCGTTGTACAAGAGGTGCAGCTCTGAACCGATATCTGCTGTCTGTAAAGTGTCGCAGAACGCAAAGGCTAGGGCACGTCCTTCGGATGGACCCCAATGCACCTGCTTTCAGAGCTATGACATACTACCTGAAGCGAGACGCTACCGGCCACCGTGGTAGACCGAAGACAACACTCGCCACCACGGTCATCAAGGACCTACAAGAAAGGAACATCCCGTTGAAGAGTGTGGGGACTTGGAAGAGGTCCGCGCCACTGCCACTGACAAGAATCAGTGGCGTGCCATGTTCCATCAGTAGCTGCTGCATTTTGCCCGCTCCGCTCAGTGACTCCGTTCTTACCGTTCAAGCAGTAACCGCTGCATTTTGGCCGCTCAGTAACTATTGGTGCTTGCACTCCGTTTCCCACACGCGCACGCACACTTCCCCGCACGCACACTTCCCCACACGCACACTTCCCCGCACGCACACTTCCCCGCACGCACACTTCCCCGCACGCACACTTCCCCGCACGCACACTTCCCCGCACGCACACTTCCCCGCACGCACACTTCCCCGCACGCACACTTCCCCGCACGCACACTTCCCCGCACGCACACTTCCCCGCACGCACACTTCCCCGCACGCACACTTCCCCGCACGCACACTTCCCCGCACGCACACTTCCCCGCACGCACACTTCCCCGCACGCACACTTCCCCGCACGCACACTTCCCCGCACGCACACTTCCCCGCACGCACACTTCCCCGTACGCACACTAGCACATACATGCGCGTACTTACATACACCCATCACACCTCTATCCGATTGTGCACTTTCATTTCTCTCGGGGTTTTTTCTTTTCCTTTTTTTCACAACCATCACATGTAGTAGAGCTCAAAAGAGACAGAAGCGGAAAGGTTAGCATTTGCTGCCTTGTACGCGAACTGTTCTATTATTATTATTATTATGGCAGGGGGTACTATTTTAGTACTCCCCAGTGCAGCTTTATGTAGTGGTAAGCCAATGCATACTTCAATTACTTGCATTGAATGCCATACAAAATATCTCATGCGATGATGTCATCACATAGCGACCGTACGTAATGCTGCTCAATGGAATCCGATTTAGTTTTATTCCAAGCATGTTATCAAAGGGTAAGCAGCAGCTGTCGGCCTATTTATAAATAAAGCAATTCCACCTCCACCAAACGTGCTCTCTGGCCGACCTCATCACACCAGCAACACGACTCCAAGTTGTAGATACTGACAAACAATTTGTTTGCTCCATGCAGCGCTGTTTCGACCACCAGAGAGCGCGTTCAGTGGGAATTATCTGTGCCGTCATCTCCACACACACACACACACACACACACACACACACACACACACACACACACACACACACACACACAAAGCAAAGCAAAGTAGCAAGTTTAAGTTTAATTCCAAGCAATACATGGCTGTCGTATCATATTATTACAGGGTGGACGGAAGTGTCCTTGCAGTGGTGATGGTTGTGTGCAGGAGGGCCTAGTCGGCTAAAGAGCGAAGTGTAATGGTGGAGGTGACTTTTAAAACATTTTTTAATACATGGCTGGGGCAGACAATGACCACTTTGCGTGGCGATTGCAAGGTTTTTTTATAGCCAACCACGGCTAATGTTGTGTTCATGAGTCAAGCTTGCGCCCTGCACGATTTCTCAGCCGGTGTCCGCAGGCCTAGGGCAGCACAGCACCCAGAGCCTGAGGTTACTTGACTAACCCAATCGGATTTCATTGAGCAGCACTGTACTCTTACTACTGGCAAGAGTGCATTGTCATTAGGCAGGTAGAGGGAGGGAGAGGAGTAGAGAGTAAGAGACTGCATCCAGGCTGAATGTGCATTTTGTGTGTGCTTTCTACAGTTTGAAACGGGAGAAGTTATTCTGGGAGGTGACGTTGCTGCACTACATCAACATCCTCGGTGAACTGATCTATTTTGTTGACTTCTACTGGCGTATCAAATATCCAAGCAATCGCCTTGACAGAGAGCGAAGTGAGTATGATATGGTGCAACTTTGTTGCATGTAAGTATCGTGGATGGCTGAGCGTCCCTACTCAGTCGAGCTTCCCCAAGCTCACTTTCACAAAGTACTGTTGTGGATATGGAAATCCGGTCGCAAGTCTAGCGGCCCCAGGGCGCTGGCCATGCAGTCGTGGGTAAGTGGGACTCGTACACGCATGCCTTTACATGTATGCGCTGCATGCAGCGCACTGGTCCCATCGGATCAACATGTGCACTGCACGCAGCGTTCTGCATGCGCTAGCGCGCTGAGAGAGCCGGACCCGGTCAATCGACTGGATTTCCATGTCCGCTACAGTATATGTGCACCTCTTGGCCCAAACCCTCATGCTTATCGCCAGCACAAAGCAGAAATAAGTCTGAGTTGTGGAGTCTTCAGGCCCGAATCAAAGTTAGCATTTGTATTTGGAACGAGTCAAAGATCTAACAACGCACTCCTCGTCTCTATCCAGTCTCTCTCTCTATCTCTCTCTCTCTCTCTCTCTCTCTCTCTCTCTCTCTCTCTCTCTCTCTCTCTCTCTCTCTCTCTCTGTCTGTCTCTCTGCGCCTCGCTCTATCTTTCTCTCCCCCCCTCTCTCTCTCTCTCTTTCTCTTTCTCTCTCTCTCTCTCTCTCTCTCTCTCTCTCTCTCTCTCTCTCTCTCTCTCTCTTCCTCTGTCTCTCTGCATGTCGCTCTCTCTTTCTCCTCCCCCCCCCTCTCTCTCTCTCTTTCTTTCTCTGACGAGTAAAAGGAAAGCAAGCTCTAATTCAGTAAAAAGTGAAGAGGAGAGCTGGAACAGTGGCAGAAGCTGACATGCATACAGTGAGCTGCACTGACTGATTGAAGCTAGAACTAATTGTCAATGGCAGCAGAATGGAAGTGGAAACGCGGCTAGACAACTGAGGCAATGGATGACGGTTCTTTGGTGTAATGGAGAACCTACAGTCCATTCAGAAAAAGATGGACTTCTAGCTTTTGGCCATAAATGGGTCAAACTTTGAGTTTTTTTAGAATTTTTTTCTGCAATCCCCTATGGAATCCTCTTCCAATTATGTTTCTGAAGTTTTTTTGTCCAAAAAGCAAGCCATAACAAGAATAGGATTTCGGCCAGGTTTTGCCCCAAAAGCACTGAATTGGGAAAAACTATAAAAATCCAGGCCGTGTGACCCCGCCTGCAACAGTGCATTGTGCGGTTCGAACCCCAGTTCAGGTACCCTTTTTGGACCCTTTTTCAAATTTCAAATTTTGCAGTACTGCACTATGTACGATGAAATCACGAAAAATCGCCAAATACGGGAGCTCGCCAGAGCCAGGACCCATCTTTTTATGAATGGACTGTAAGCAATACAGGTCGTCCCCCGTTAATACGAGTCCGGTTAGTACATAAACCCCGTTAGTACATAAGAAATCTCAAGTCCCGGACGAAACGTGGTCACTTCCATACAAATGTTGTCGGTTAGTACATAATTCGTTAGTACATAAACCCCGTTAGTACATAACATTTCTCCATACCCGCATGCCACCTACCTCAATAGTACATAATTTGTTGTTCTTTTGGCCTTCCAGTGGAGGCACATCGTGTTCTAGTTTCTACTTGTGGACGCAATTAGCTCAGAAATCAGAGCGCACATCAAAAACCGACAAAGCTCTGTTGTTTTTTTCGAGTGACTACAGGCGCCGCTGGGCATGTATCATGTCAACTGTAGAATCTTCGCTGACTGTGACCGTTATAACATAATTTTTATGTTATATCGAGGGAATCAAGAATATCTCGCTCCCTAGTCATGGCAGCAAGAAATACTCAGAAAAGTTGAAAAAAGTGAAAAATTCTGGTATACAAGCAAGTTATGTACACTGTCGTTTAGTACATAAACCCCGTTAATACATAACATTTGTCAAGTCCCAGAGATTATGTATTAACGAGGGACGACCTGTACATTGAAGGAAGGCAGCAAGAGGTAGCAGTGTGCACGTGCAGGGTTGACTGTACATGCACTATGTGTGAGAGTGAATGTGCACAGCAAGCATGTACTCTGCTAGACAGTACGGTACAGAGTGCACAGCATTTGCTCCCTAAACTCAGTGTAGCATACAGTCCTCAACGTTTCAGTATGCATAGGTGGACAAACTTGCACACATTATGGCTAATATCAACATTTTGGAATTTCTTTGACAGATTCATCAGTACAATTATGTACTTGTGCCTGCATGCAGTTTCCTCAATAGCTTGTTTTCGCTCCGTAGTGACAGAACTGTGGTCATTCCAAGCACTAGATTGCCAGAGTAGTTGCGACACGGTGGGTCATGCCGTTTTCCCCGGGAGAAATCACTTTGTGAGGGTAAATTATGAGGCATTTGACTTGGTGGGCTATGACGCTGAGAACAGTGCTGCAGCTGGCTTTCTTTGTCTGTTCAAGTGTGAAAACGAGAAGAAGTTCCTTGCAAGCGCAAAGCATGATCCAGGCAAGGGATGTGAATCTCTTCAACCTGCCAAAATGCTCTATCTACCTTCATCCAGGACTAAGACAAGCCCTCTATCACACATGCACATAGAAATCATGTTTGCCTGAAAGCCAGCCGAGATCAGAGTAAAGAAAAACGGTCGCCTCTGCACTTCAGAGTGGCCAGACCAATGGCAAGGGCCGCACCATGGGCCTGATGTGCAAGCACGTGTGAGAATTTGGGGCCCATGTTGTGACTGGATGGGGGTATGCTCTTCTTGTAGTGCATGCAACGGTTTACCCTGACGCTATCCCTGTGGGTTTTCTGTCCTTTCTTTTGGCTCACTGTTCCTCTGGCAAACCTTTCTCTGTGAAAGTTGTACTGCACCTGTTTTACCAGGTGTTCAACGAGAAGGTCGTCCAGATACTGAGAGATGTCAGTCGTGAGTTCACACTCGCCGACTTGTATGTTCTGGTCGGCAAGATGGTCACGCACAGCTTCGTCATGTACCACCCGAAGGACCATCTCGACTCAGTGACACAGGTACCTGTAGTCCCATGTATACGTATGTACCTTTGACTGTGTAATCTACTTACACAACCTGCTGGGGGTGCAGCTAGCATAGGAGCTGATCCACTGCATGTTAGGGTAGGACTGCATCGCATCAAGTTAAAGGACAGGCGTATTTCTGTTATACACAACCCCCTGTTATCCCAATGCACTGCACAATCATGTATATGTTTCCCGGTTGTTCCAATCGGAATAGACACACGACTTTCAAGTTTTGCTCACACCAACATTCGTGAGATCTCACCGTGCACACACATGGACAAACATATTGGAAAGCGGGACCGTTCGGTACACATACAGTAGAGAAAAGGACTCCTGAGCGACCGGTTGTACTACGATGGCCAGGAGTGAGATTACCCGAAGTGTGGATGATCTGGGCCAATCTCCAGAGGTACGAACAACACCACAAACGGGCCATAATATTACTGGCTAATGATGACGCCATTGAGCTGTACCCCCCCCCCCCCCCTAAGATGTTCTAACCCAGAGGGTTGCTAATTAGATTTGCATAGTTGCAGAAGATGGGTCAGGTAACACGTGTACGTGTCTGCACCATCACCTATCCTCAGTCATACAAGTGCTTCAAAGAAAGAAAACAGCTGTTTTCTATGTGCCTGTATGTGTGTCTGTGATCAACCTGTCCAGCTACCGAAACTCATCATCATGATCTGTGCATGGCAAGTAAGTGAAACATTCCTAAATACACACATACACGTACATACATGCACATACCGTATTTTACCAGCTATACATGTATGTCGGTTAACCGGTTCAATATCAATATGATCAATAGCGTTGAACCCAGGTTTTAATCAAGTCAATTACCCCTTATTTTAAGTCGGTTTTAGGTCATGAAAAGTCACCGTAGGACCGAAAAATGGTACATGTGCCCCCCCCCCCCCCCCCACACACACACCATGGACCATTTGACGCCCATCGCCAGAGGCGATGATAGCAATGCTACAGCAGAAGCCATAGCAACTTGTGCTGGGATTGCACCATTCAACAGCTTGCAAGGTTGAAGAATTGACCGCCACTATTCAGCCTGGTCTACACCACACAGCTATGAAGTGGCTTTTTTGGCCACACACACACACACACACACACACACACACACACACACACACACACACACTCACACACACACACACACACACACACACACACACACACACACACACACACACACACACACATACATGTACATGTACACATACACCTATACACACTCAGAACCAATCGACACTCCAGCAGCAACAACGGAGGAAAGGGAAATCAGTGTGGTGCGGTTAGTTATAATATTATTATAAAGAATGGGCAGAAATACAGGAAGATGTTTGAATTAGGTTTGAAGCAGTCCTTTTTAAACCCTGGAACACGGTGAATAATGATATGAACCTACACTTCTCTAGGGATAAGCCCTGCTATAGGAATCAGTCCTGCCATAGGGAACAACCCTGCTAGGGGACAGCCCTATTACATACAAAGCCCTGCTAAAGAGAACAGCCCTTCTATAGGGAGTAGCTCGATTATAGGGAATGGCCCTGCTATAGGGATTAGCCCTGCTAAAGGGAAGAGCCCTGCTATAGGGACCAACCATGTTATAGGGAAGAGCCCTGTTATAGGGAACATTCCTGCTATAGGGATAGCCCTGCTACAGGGAACAGCCTTGCTGTAGGGAGCAGCCCTGCTATAGGGAATAGCCCTGCCATAGGGAACCACCCTGTTGTAGGAAATAACCCTCCTATAGGGAATAGCCCTGATAAAGGGAATAACCTACTAACTTGTACGCCCTTGAGAAACGCCTCAACTTCAAAACCTATGTATTAAATTTTGTTTACCGCTGCCTGAATGGACTTGCTAGTCCTCTTCTGCGAGATCGCTTTACCTTGCGCGCCCATGGTGCTCACACTGCAGCCACCACCCGTGGCCAAGTCTCTGCTGCTCTTGTTCTGCCCCCCCCCCCGCTAACACCCGATATGGCTTTAGTGCAATTTCTTATTTGGGCGCTGCCAGGTGGAATACACTTCCACCGGCTTGCCGCATGTCTAGTTCACCAGCTGAATTTCGCTCATCCATCAAATTATACCTAGGGTTCCCTGTAAAAAGGTGCTGACGCCTGTTGGGAATTCCCTAGTAAAAGAAGAAGAAATAATAATAATATAATAATAATAACCCTGCTATAGGGACTTATTTTGTTATTGCATCCCTCGCACCCATTGCGTATTTAAATGTACTACATGCATGGTGTGTGTTTGCAGATGAGATTGTGCAGGCCGTCATACTACCTGCTGCTGATGACATGGAACCATGTGGACGGCATACGTAATATTGTCAAACCATACGCTGACCATGCAGTGTATCCGGCCAGCACCCATGGAACACAGAGTCTTGAACTGCTGGAGACGCTTTTTCGTCGTGTAAGTAAATGTACATGCAGCTTTCGGAAAGTTTCCCAGCCGTGCTGCGACCCACCACAGATTGGGAACCCATGGCCTCGGATGGCAGTGCTACATAAATGTGGCAGACAGGGTTCGGCACTTGTGCCGATAGTGATGTTATGCTGCTCTATGTTACCGGAACGCGACGCGGAGAATCCCGGGAGCACTCCTCGCGTTCCGTAACGCATAGCAAGCCTGTTGTGCTCTACGTTCACGTAAAGAAATCGCGTGGAATGTGTGTTCAGTAAAACCTGATCCTTTGCCTGCTTGCTTTTCATGTAGTCTGACTACTGTAAAAAACATTATTCTAACGAGGCGCATATAACGATTTCCCAAAATCGACTGGTTTACGTGTACCAAAGGTAACGAACGATTCTCACTTATTCTCAACACTCAATACGACAGTATATGTATCGATTTCTGTGTAACGATTTCTATTTTAACGACAGATTTCTCCTCGTTAACTCGTTAGAGTTAGCACTTCGTTATATACATGTATATGGCTTTTACAGTAGTTGCCATTCTGTTTTGCTACTCATTCAGACATTCTGGCTCTTCGAGATCGGAGAATGGGATTTGCTACGTGACTTCATGATACGACCAGGCAGAACTGCAATTCCAAACATAGAAGCCAAGGTATGAATGACCGGTATTTATAATGTTGAGAAGCTGGCTGCTACGAACACTGGTGGTCTTATACTCGGTTAATACAGTATGACACCTAGTAATAGAGAGGTTGCGCTCAACGAAAATTCATAGCGCCGTAAGGAAAAGGTTTAACAAAACAAGCTAACGAATTTTCGTAAACCGTGATGTTGCACACAATGTGTAAACATGTTCGTAGTAGGTCGACGCGAGGTCGACGTAGGTGTAAAGAGTCCAGACAAAGAGTCGTAGTAAAATATCAGAATTTTAGTACTCCACGCTACGA